GAGAAAAAAAGTCAGAATTCTGAGATTAAAGTCAGAATACTGAGAAAAAAAGTCAGAATTCTGAGATTAAAGTCAGAATCCTGAGAAAAAAAGTCAGAATTCTAAGATTAAAGTCAGAATCCTGAGAAAAAAAGTCAGAATTCTAAGATTAAAGTCAGAATCCTGAGAAAAAAAAGTCAGAATTGTGAGATTAAAGTCAGAATCCTTAGAAAAAAAGTCAGAATTCTAAGATTAAAGTTAGAATTCTGACATTAAAGTCAGAATTCTGAGATTAAAGTCAGAATTCTAAGATTAAAGTCAGAATCCTGAGAAAAAAAGTCAGAATTCTAAGATTAAAGTCAGAATCCTGAGAAAAAAAGTCAGAATTCTGAGATTAAAGTCAGAATCCTGAGAAAAAAAAGTCAGAATTGTGAGATTAAAGTCAGAATCCTGAGAAAAAAAAGTCAGAATTGTGAGATTAAAGTCAGAATCCTTAGAAAAAAAGTCAGAATTGTGAGATTAAAGTCAGAATCCTTAGAAAAACAGTCAGAATTCTAAGATTAAAGTTAGAATTCTGACATTAAAGTCAGAATTCTGAGATTAAAGTCAGAATTCTAAGATTAAAGTCAGAATCCTGAGAAAAGTCAGAATTCTAAGATTAAAGTCAGAATCCTGAGAAAAAAAGTCAGAATTCTGAGATTAAAGTCAGAATCCTTAGAAAAAAAGTCAGAATTCTAAGATTAAAGTTAGAATTCTGACATTAAAGTCAGAATTCTGAGATTAAAGTCAGAATTCTAAGATTAAAGTCAGAATCCTGAGAAAAAAAGTCAGAATTCTAAGATTAAAGTCAGAATCCTGAGAAAAAAAGTCAGAATTCTGAGATTAAAGTCAGAATCCTGAGAAAAAAAAAGTCAGAATTGTGAGATTAAAGTCAGAATCCTTAGAAAAAAAGTCAGAATTCTAAGATTAAAGTTAGAATTCTGACATTAAAGTCAGAATTCTGAGATTAAAGTCAGAATTCTAAGATTAAAGTCAGAATCCTGAGAAAAAAAGTCAGAATTCTAAGATTAAAGTCAGAATCCTGAGAAAAAAAGTCAGAATTCTGAGATTAAAGTCAGAATCCTGAGAAAAAAAAGTCAGAATTGTGAGATTAAAGTCAGAATCCTTAGAAAAAAAGTCAGAATTCTAAGATTAAAGTTAGAATTCTGACATTAAAGTCAGAATTCTGAGATTAAAGTCAGAATTCTAAGATTAAAGTCAGAATCCTGAGAAAAAAAGTCAGAATTCTAAGATTAAAGTCAGAATCCTGAGAAAAAAAAGTCAGAATTGTGAGATTAAAGTCAGAATCCTTAGAAAAAAAGTCAGAATTCTAAGATTAAAGTTAGAATTCTGACATTAAAGTCAGAATTCTGAGATTAAAGTCAGAATTCTAAGATTAAAGTCAGAATCCTGAGAAAAAAAGTCAGAATTCTAAGGTTAAAGTCAGAATCCTGAGAAAAAAAGTCAGAATTCTGAGATTAAAGTCAGAATCCTGAGAAAAAAAAGTCAGAATTGTGAGATTAAAGTCAGAATCCTTAGAAAAAAAGTCAGAATTCTAAGATTAAAGTTAGAATTCTGACATTAAAGTCAGAATTCTGAGATTAAAGTCAGAATTCTAAGATTAAAGTCAGAATCCTGAGAAAAAAAGTCAGAATTCTGAGATTAAAGTCACAATCCTTAGAAAAAAAGTCAGAATTCTAAGATTAAAGTCAGAATCCTGAGAAAAAAAGTCAGAATTCTGAGATTAAAGTCAGAATCCTGAGAAAAAAAGTCAGAATTCTGAGATTAAAGTCAGAATCCTGAGAAAAAAAGTCAGAATTCTGAGATTAAAGTCAGAATCCTGAGAAAAAAAGTCAGAATTCTAAGATTAAAGTCAGAATCTTTAGAAAAAAAGTCAGAATTCTAAGATTAAAGTTAGAATTCTGACATTAAAGTCAGAATTCTGAGATTAAAGTCAGAATTCTAAGATTAAAGTCAGAATCCTGAGAAAAAAAGTCATAATTCTAAGATTAAAGTCAGAATCCTTAGAAAAAAAGTCAGAATTCTGAGATTAAAGTCAGAATACTGAGAAAAAAAGTCAGAATTCTGAGATTAAAGTCAGAATCCTGAGAAAAAAAGTCAGAATTCTAAGATTAAAGTCAGAATCCTGAGAAAAAAAGTCAGAATTCTAAGATTAAAGTCAGAATCCTGAGAAAAAAAGTCAGAATTCTGAGATTAAAGTCAGAATCTTTAGAAAAAAAGTCAGAATTCTAAGATTAAAGTTAGAATTCTGACATTAAAGTCAGAATTCTGAGATTAAAGTCAGAATTCTAAGATTAAAGTCAGAATCCTGAGAAAAAAAGTCAGAATTCTAAGATTAAAGTCAGAATCCTGAGAAAAAAAGTCAGAATTCTGAGATTAAAGTCAGAATACTGAGAAAAAAAGTCATAATTCTAAGATTAAAGTCAGAATCCTTAGAAAAAAAGTCAGAATTCTGAGATTAAAGTCAGAATACTGAGAAAAAAAGTCAGAATTCTGAGATTAAAGTCAGAATCCTGAGAAAAAAAGTCAGAATTCTAAGATTAAAGTCAGAATCCTGAGAAAAAAAGTCAGAATTCTAAGATTAAAGTCAGAATCCTGAGAAAAAAAGTCAGAATTCTGAGATTAAAGTCAGAATCTTTAGAAAAAAAGTCAGAATTCTAAGATTAAAGTTAGAATTCTGACATTAAAGTCAGAATTCTGAGATTAAAGTCAGAATTCTAAGATTAAAGTCAGAATCCTGAGAAAAAAAGTCAGAATTCTAAGATTAAAGTCAGAATCCTGAGAAAAAAAGTCAGAATTCTGAGATTAAAGTCAGAATACTGAGAAAAAAAGTCAGAATTCTGAGATTAAAGTCAGAATCCTGAGAAAAAAAGTCAGAATTCTAAGATTAAAGTCAGAATCCTGAGAAAAAAAGTCAGAATTCTAAGATTAAAGTCAGAATCCTGAGAAAAAAAAGTCAGAATTGTGAGATTAAAGTCAGAATCCTTAGAAAAAAAGTCAGAATTCTAAGATTAAAGTTAGAATTCTGACATTAAAGTCAGAATTCTGAGATTAAAGTCAGAATTCTAAGATTAAAGTCAGAATCCTGAGAAAAAAAGTCAGAATTCTAAGATTAAAGTCAGAATCCTGAGAAAAAAAGTCAGAATTCTGAGATTAAAGTCAGAATCCTGAGAAAAAAAAGTCAGAATTGTGAGATTAAAGTCAGAATCCTGAGAAAAAAAAGTCAGAATTGTGAGATTAAAGTCAGAATCCTTAGAAAAAAAGTCAGAATTGTGAGATTAAAGTCAGAATCCTTAGAAAAAAAGTCAGAATTCTAAGATTAAAGTTAGAATTCTGACATTAAAGTCAGAATTCTGAGATTAAAGTCAGAATTCTAAGATTAAAGTCAGAATCCTGAGAAAAGTCAGAATTCTAAGATTAAAGTCAGAATCCTGAGAAAAAAAGTCAGAATTCTGAGATTAAAGTCAGAATCCTTAGAAAAAAAGTCAGAATTCTAAGATTAAAGTTAGAATTCTGACATTAAAGTCAGAATTCTGAGATTAAAGTCAGAATTCTAAGATTAAAGTCAGAATCCTGAGAAAAAAAGTCAGAATTCTAAGATTAAAGTCAGAATCCTGAGAAAAAAAGTCAGAATTCTGAGATTAAAGTCAGAATCCTGAGAAAAAAAAGTCAGAATTGTGAGATTAAAGTCAGAATCCTTAGAAAAAAAGTCAGAATTCTAAGATTAAAGTTAGAATTCTGACATTAAAGTCAGAATTCTGAGATTAAAGTCAGAATTCTAAGATTAAAGTCAGAATCCTGAGAAAAAAAGTCAGAATTCTAAGATTAAAGTCAGAATCCTGAGAAAAAAAGTCAGAATTCTGAGATTAAAGTCAGAATCCTGAGAAAAAAAAGTCAGAATTGTGAGATTAAAGTCAGAATCCTTAGAAAAAAAGTCAGAATTCTAAGATTAAAGTTAGAATTCTGACATTAAAGTCAGAATTCTGAGATTAAAGTCAGAATTCTAAGATTAAAGTCAGAATCCTGAGAAAAAAAGTCAGAATTCTAAGATTAAAGTCAGAATCCTGAGAAAAAAAAGTCAGAATTGTGAGATTAAAGTCAGAATCCTTAGAAAAAAAGTCAGAATTCTAAGATTAAAGTTAGAATTCTGACATTAAAGTCAGAATTCTGAGATTAAAGTCAGAATTCTAAGATTAAAGTCAGAATCCTGAGAAAAAAAGTCAGAATTCTAAGGTTAAAGTCAGAATCCTGAGAAAAAAAGTCAGAATTCTGAGATTAAAGTCAGAATCCTGAGAAAAAAAAGTCAGAATTGTGAGATTAAAGTCAGAATCCTTAGAAAAAAAGTCAGAATTCTAAGATTAAAGTTAGAATTCTGACATTAAAGTCAGAATTCTGAGATTAAAGTCAGAATTCTAAGATTAAAGTCAGAATCCTGAGAAAAAAAGTCAGAATTCTAAGATTAAAGTCAGAATCCTGAGAAAAAAAGTCAGAATTCTGAGATTAAAGTCAGAATCCTGAGAAAAAAAGTCAGAATTCTGAGATTAAAGTCAGAATCCTGAGGAAAAAAAAGTCAGAATTCTGAGATTAAAGTCAGAATCCTGAGAAAAAAAAGTCAGAATTCTGAGATTAAAGTCAGAATTCTGAGATTAAAGTCAGAATCCTGAGAAGAAAAAAAGTCAGAATTCGGAGATTAAAGTCAGAATCCTGAGGAAAAAAAAGTCAGAATTCTAAGATTAAAGTCAGAATCCTGACTTTTTTCCCATATTAACCTGAAATAAAATTTAAAAATCAGTTAACTTTTTTTTCCCAGTGGCCCTAATTCTCTTCCGTACTCCTGTGTTCTAAACAATAGGAAAGCAATAATCAGCGCCCAACCTCAGAGTGCCCCCCAACTTTCATCACTAAATTACAGCCTTGCTTGGAGTGGATGGTTGAATATTTCTGCGCACAGTTTTGGTGGGGGGGTTAGGTTAGGTTGACACTGGGCGTGGAGTGACTCAGGACAGGCGGATGACTCTGTGGATTCACTCATGCATGGTCTCACAGTGTGACGGCCCAGACGTGGGTGGATAGTGGCTGCAGCTCCGTTTAACGGAACACCTCCGACTTCAGAAAACTGTCAACAAACAAAGAGCAACTTTATCACTATTATCACTGTTACGCGCGGCTGTTTTCCAGAACAGGGCAGAGCGACCTGGAGGAGCTGGTTCATGTGCGCTTGGAAGCGACCAACCAAAAAAGAAAAAAGAAAATAGTTGATGAAATTTTCAAAGACATAAGTCTTGAGGGAGGCTCTCAGCAGGAGGTCCCATCGCTTCCCAACCATGGCACCGCTGACAGCTGATGGATGTGATCTTATGTAACTTTGGCATCTTCAAAGGTATGAGACAAGCTGAAACTTTCAGGGAGGGGGAGATTATGAAGAAATCTGAAGGTAACTGAGAACCTGCCTCAGTTTTACTGAACAACAGAAGAACAAAAGCCTGACAAAGCTTCAGGCGCTTGAGGGGAGTCTGTGCGCTCTGGCACACTCTGCATTATGAGTCTGGCACCTATGGCTTTGCAATCTGCTCAGCTGTTAGACTCAAATACCACTAAACTTTGATAGTTTTATGCTGAATTTAAGGTTTGAATTTAAGTTACCACAACTTTTCAAAAGGAGGATAACTAACCCTCTGTTTATCTCCTTCAGGAAGTTTACAGCAAATACAGGCAAAGTGTCTCTTCTGTTATTACAGTATCCTGTATCTACTGTTATTTTTTGCTTTGATATTAACAACAATGACAGTTAAACTTTTAAAGGCCTTAAATCTCTCAGATGGTTTAATGTTAAGCAAATGTTTTTTCTCCTGCAGGTGTCAGATTGTGAACCTTATAGTCGATGGATTTATCACCTTTAATTCACCAGTTTCTCAGTAAGTTCTTTCTTTCAAGCTTCTTTTACTGCAGATTTTCTGAAATTATTACATGCTGATATCAAATTATATATATATATATATATATATATATATATATATATATATATATATATATATATATATATATATATATATATATATATATATATATATAGGTTTCTTGACTACATGGGTGTATAGAGTGCACATTTTTAGCTTTTATTTTCAGTTAAAATCTTTCTTTTTAGCCTTCAAAAGTTTTATTAAGTTACAATTTTTGTATTTTTTCATTCATCAGTTGAATATATTTAAAAGTAATTCCCTGATGCTTCAAGCTAAGTATTATTCTGGAGATGGGCAGATGTTCAAACTTTTTTATACATATATGCTTCATATTATATTAAGTCAGCCATACAGTGAAAGTTAGATCCCTCCCCCCCTGTGTGGTTCATGCAGCTTTTTTGTGTTACAGCAGACAGAGACTGGGGTGAGGGAGGGTGTAATGTGTAAATGTGTGTGTATCACTATGTGTGTGTGTGTATTTGCCATCCCAGAGCCCCATCTCTGCTAAATGCTGTTTTCGAACATAATAATGTTGATCTCAGCACATGCCTGCTGGGCAGTGGAGCGAATAGGTGAGAGACAGAGACAGGGCCTGACACTGAGACAGAGAGAAAAGCCAATGAATTGGGCTTCAATCGCACAGGTGGCCTGTACAGTATACCAGCATCTGTATTGAAAGGCTGCGGTTAGGTGCAGCTTTCTGCTCTGATCCTCTTCTGATTGTTAACCAATGGTATAGAAGGATTTATGCCAACGGCTGGTGTATGTGTTTACGTACAGTGTCGCAGCTCAGGGTAAAAACGTTTTAGTTTGCCACTGTTTTAATATTCACTAACTTTTCTTGGACCTGACAAAATCTCTTCTGTCTGTCTTGTTTTTTTGTTTTTCCAGCCTGTACTTTCTCTGTAGGCTAGAAACGTGGAAGCATGGGCGACTGGAGTTTTCTGGGGCGGCTGCTGGAGAATGCTCAGGAGCACTCAACCGTCATCGGCAAAGTCTGGCTGACCGTCCTCTTCATCTTCAGGATCCTGGTGCTCGGCGCCGCAGCTGAAGAGGTCTGGGGCGACGAGCAGTCCGACTTCACCTGTAACACCCAGCAGCCCGGTTGCGAGAACGTCTGCTACGACGAGGCGTTCCCCATCTCCCACATCCGCTTCTGGGTGCTGCAGATCATCTTTGTGTCCACACCGACCCTCATCTACCTGGGCCACGTGCTGCACATCGTCCGCATGGAGGAGAAGCGTAAAGAGAAGGAGGAGGAGATGCGCAAAGCCAACAGGTTACAGGAGGAGAAGGAACTCCTTTATAGAAACGGTGGTGATGCTGGAGGTGGGGGGAAGAAGGAGAAGCTACCCATCAGAGACGAGCATGGCAAAATCCGCATCAGGGGTGCGCTGCTGCGCACTTACGTGTTCAACATTATTTTCAAGACCCTGTTTGAAGTGGGTTTCATTTTGGGCCAGTATTTCCTGTATGGCTTCAAGCTGAGGCCCCTGTACAAATGTTCACGTTGGCCGTGCCCCAACACTGTTGACTGCTTCATATCGAGGCCCACTGAAAAGACAATTTTTATCATATTTTTGCTTGTGGTGGCTTGCGTGTCTCTTTTGCTGAATTTGTTAGAGATCTATCACCTCGGATGGAAGAAACTCAAACAGGGCATGACCAACGAGTTCGCCCCTGATAGCAAGTTTCTGCAGCGAGCCGGCGCTGAAGAGCCTCCGTGTTTGGCCTCGGCCTCCAGAACTGCCCCATCCGGCTACACTCCCAACTACATTGAGGTGACGGCGGGCAGCGGGGCGTTTCTGCCGCCTATTAGGCTAGCAACCATGGCTTCAACAGCGGAGTACAAGATGGAAGACCTCCAGCGAGAGGACTCCCTTCAGCAGTCTGCTTCACCTTCTCAATACTACATCAGCAACAACAACAACCACCGGCTGGCCACACAGCAGAACTGGGCCAACCTGGCCACTGAGCAGCAGACTCGGGAGATGGGTTCCCCTTCGCCATCCTCATCTTCTTCTGCCAACGAGAGCGAACAGAAGATGCCGCCTGGTGCTGCTCTGCTTCTTTACAGCAACAACAGCAACGGCAACACCACCGACGGCAGAAGCCCAGGTACCGCCTCTTACGCAGACAGCGGCGGGGGAGACAGAAACGCACAGGAAGAGGTCTGCAACACGACCACCACGGTGGAGATGCACGAGCCCCCCCTTATGGTCAGCATAGACCCACGGCGGCTTAGCCGTGCGAGCAAAAGCAGCAACGTCAGGGCGAGGCCAAACGATCTGGCTGTCTAAAACCTTTTAAAAGCTTTTAAACCCAAGGGGACCGAGGGAGTATTTGGTCAGGTATCATTGCCCTCAGCCACAACCTTTTAGAGCAATCGGTGAGTTGTAGAGCTGCTGATGTAAAAGGTTGGTTAATTTTTTTAGGTCCGTACATAGAAAATTAATCACACAATTCGACAAAGAGAGGAAGTTAAAATTTCATGTCATTAAAAGACAATTTTTCCCAACCGTTTTGGTTTGGTGAGACACGTCATGGTGTTTCTTTAGATTTTCTTTTAGCCTAGATTACATATTTTTCCTCATATAAGATATAAAATGGTAGCATACTGACAAGGCACAGACCAGTATGAGATTCCTTTATGAGAAAGTCCTCTGTGTTCATGTTTTCTATCAGTTTGTCGACCTGCTCAGATCTGCTGCTCGACAGATTTGCCTTTGCTGTCGTTTTAGAACGAGAGGGAAGGGTGTTGCTACTTTGGTTTCTACACCATTACCATCTAAGTTTTAAGAAACTGGAAATACTTTTTTTCAGCCAGTCGTCCAGCGGCGTGCAGCAAAGAACTGCGTTAGTTTTGTACAGCAACAGTCACTCTTGCACTTTCCCTAGGATATTATTAAAATGACCTTAACTCCTAGGAACGGTGACACGAAAAGCACCGATACCATCAGGGTTTTTTAATCTCACCGTTTTTTAACTGGCTTAACGCTCCAACATGTGACATGTGTTGCATTTTTGGTCCGATTGATTTCTTATTTTAAGGTATTTTATAGAAATGACCCTTAAATTAATCTTTTTAACAATAGATGACAGTTCTATAACTCACCGATTCCCTGGCTTTTGTTTCACCCTAAATCCATGATTTTCCATGATGTTATGCCGATGTCTGACAAATTATGCTGTAAAAAGGATGAGAGAGAAAAATGTAGGTACCTGCCAAAGAAATGTTGCACAAAGGTGTTGCATGCCAAAAAAAATAAAACCTTCACAATGAAAAGCAGATATAAGGGCAGCCGACAAAATGAAGATAAAAATGTCCTCCTTGTTTAAAATACAGTGTTCTGGTAAAGGTATTCCACACACCCACAATTACCTTTTTATTACACCTGAGCGACAACAGAACATTGGAAGTGCCAAGATTTTTATTGTTCAACAATTAATTTGTTTCTTTATTGATTTTTATTCTGAAAAGTGCTATTTTTTTAAGAAGCTGATTTGAACTTTACTCATTAACTGTGCCACCTGTAGTAGTCAGTTTTTGACTGAGGAACAGCTCAGATTAAAAGAAAAAAAGAAGAAAAATGAAAAAAACCAAAGACAGCTTTTTGCGCATTTTTAAAATGCTGTTGTGCAGTTGCCCACTAGTGCTTTTTATTTTTTTCTTGTGCTTGTCATGATACCCAAACACCTCTTGGGATACCCAGGGGGTTGGTAACCCCATGAGCTGCCACGGTCCTCTGTGGTTTGTCATTGTCCTGTCTGGTTGTTCACGCTGAAAGCATTTTCAAAATGCTTTTTTTTTTTATAATTATCATCAAACCTATTCTAGGATTTAACTCTTAGCCTAACACCAGGAGCACCAGAGTGAAAACCTAATCCGCACTTCACATGTTACTGAACGTAAAGTATGAAAAACAAAAGGGACAGTTTAGTACTTTTAAGTAAGGTTCTTTTAAAAGAGTATAGCCTACATCTTACCTGCAATGGATAAGTCTAAAGGCGTCATTATTTAATATTAATATTGACTCTCATTGGTGGCTAAAGCTAACGCCGAGAATGAAAGAGTATAGACCAATCTAGACTTCTACCTTATTAAAAATAATCCAATTTAAAAATGGTTTAGATGTTTATGCAAATGCTTTTAAAGGAACTTTGAAAACCATTGTCATGTTTGCATCCTGTGGCTGATTACAAAGAAACTGCTGATGTTTAACCTGGAAATGAAGGTTCACCACCAGTCGTCCTCCTATAGTCTCTGTCCTACTGAAATTAGGGGGTTAACTGAGGTTTTTCAAACACGGGTCAACTTGCTAACAATCATGCTGGGTTAGCATTGAGGATGGCATCAGTAAGACAGAAATCGGGAAAGTAAACAATGGAGAGCATTATGGAGGGAAGCCAGGGCCTAGTAAGTGTTCTTTATTGTTAAGTTCTTTTGTCCTTCCGAATCTCTCTCACCAGCCATTTTTAATCGAATGTTAGCAGAGTTGTTTATATCTTATATCAGATGCGACTGGCGCAATGTGTTGACGCCCGTATTTTGAACTCAATGGTACCACTAAAATGTGCAGGTCGACCCAGGTCTAATGTTCCAACTGTCGCTTACCGATTTGTTTGTCTCGGTTTGACACGGGTCAGTGAGCTGTTCCCATTGCCACTAAAAGCCGAAGTACTTTACTCAGAAGTACAGGGTAACGAAATTAACTCTCTGCATTAACCCATCCCCTTGGGCAGCAGTGGGCTGCGATTGTGCAGCGCCCGGGCAGCAGTTTGGGGTTAAGGGTCTTTCCACAGGGACCCAGAGTGACATTCTGTGAGAGTAGGGCTTGAACTCTGAGCCTCTGGATTCCAAGCGCAATGCCCTAACCATTAGGCCGCCAACCCCCTATAACAATAATACTTAAAATATTTATTAATCTCTCACTGGAGAAATTCACTTCTGCATTTAACCCCTCCCCTTGGGTAGCAGTTTGCTGCCGCAGTGCAGCACCCAGGAAACAGTTTGGAGTTAAGGGTCTTGCTCAGGGACTCAGAGTGACAGTCTGCAAGCTTTGAACTCAGAAACTCTGGCACCCAAGCAGAATGCTCTAACCACTAGGCCACCACTCCCCAAATGTTTTTTTCGGCCAGTGTGATCCGATCATGAAATGTGTATACATATACCAAGCTTTCAGTGAGATTAAATCAAATTTTCCGGAAACGCTTTTGCAGTAGTAGAAGAAGAAGCTGCCTGTTTTGTAAACAAACCCATACTTGTCCGCTCATCCTCAACATTAGCTAGTCTTTCTTCCTGACCCGGACATTTATAATTTTTTTTGCAGTTCTTCAGTCGTGTCTATTGATGTGTTTTTTTTCCCACTATGGACCTTCCTCATCACACCTTTTTAGTTAAATGTATAGTGGAGGATTTTCGCTAGTTTTTGAAAAAAAAAATGCACATACACAACCCTGTACCCACTCCGGAGAGAGGATACCTATTAAATGCATGCAAGAGTGTGCACAAGCCCATTTCTCCTCGTGCACGCTCTGTTTAAAAGTTGCTGTTTGTATCGTTCATACAAGCTTACTTTCTAAGCTTACTTTCCACTATGTCAGACTTGCCACCGGTAACTGAAAATTGGGAAGAGCACCTACAGTAGGACGGCATTAGGTAAACATATCACCAGAATGATTGAAAATTAGGAGGACCACTTTTTTTGATAATCCACCCGGAAAAAGAACATCCTCCACTATACCTTTAAGTTTAGGCTTAGCTTATTTTAACGCTCCTTTGCTACAGATGTAGAGGCAGGATGGCAGGTTCATCCCCACATTACATTTAGAGCCACCTTCTCCACCAAGAAGAACCTGGAGCCAGTGTCGCCTTGAACCCCAGTCGGCCTCGGCAGATGGCCGCACACACTGGGCCTGGTTCTGCTGGAGGTTTCTTCCTGTTAAAAGGGAATTTTTCCTCTCCACTGTCACTACCAGCCTTCTTGGTGTGAGGGATTGCATTGGAGTCAATGAGTCGATACAAATAAATGGTTTTCCTTAGATAGAAAACTTTGAATCAATCTGAATGTATGATCTGGTGCCTTGAGATTCACATGTGTTGTGAATCTCAAGTGAACAATAGACGGCAATCGGAATGGCGATCTGAAAAAAAAACACCTCTTAACCGTAATGACATTTCTTTTCGATCCAAATCGAATTAAAATATTCAGTCTGAAATGTTTACATGAAACATTTTCTATCTGATCAGGACTTCAATCTGATTGTGTCCATTTAAACATAGCTATTGAGAATTTAAATAGACGTAGTATGTGTCTGGTATAGATAAGCTGGTTCACGTGGCAAGAGAACTGTGCCGATTTCCGCACGATCTTCCTCTTCCGAGAGCCCCTGATATCTGGAGCCTCTCGGGACCAAAAATCATGGAGTTATTCCTGCTGTCTGTGGTGAATTTAGAGGGATCAGTTCTGCTTGATAGAACTTTTGATCCCTCCATTAAACTATGGGGGAAATCCAACACGTTGGTTTGTCTTGGGCTGATATCCGGTTTTGTTTGGTGTCCACCTAGTCAACCATGTTCAATTCAAAGAAACCTGAGCAACTGGCTTTTTCCACGTAGAAAGAAAGAGAGGGCACTAAAATATTTTCAAACAGGACAATTTTAAAATGTGTGAACCAGCCGGAAGTAGATCAATGTCAAAAGAGAAGAGATGGTTAGGCTGACTGTGAACTCTCGATGACTTATCCTCTTGGTTCAAGTTTTACATGGGAAGATTATTGGTGATGCACCGCCTCCTGCTTTCATTTCCTGAATTGGTGTTGCTGGACGTGACAATGGTTTAAAGCTTTTAAAAATTATTTGCAAACACCAATATGATATTTACCATTTGTGAGATTACACATGCCCCGATCTGATATTAATGTTATTATTGGTCCTCAATCTGCAGAAAATTCAACATCAGGTATCTAAAAAAATTGACCTGATGGTTAGGGACTGATGTATTTATTCAAATTCTTTATTTAAAAAAAGGTTTAATTCTCTTAAACAGCAGGAAAATTGACCCCTTTTTGGGCCTTAGCTTTGATTTAATAAATACAGTTTTGTTTTCAGGATTTAGTTCATCCTGTTAACATGATTTTTATTGCTTCCTTTAATCTCAATCTTTTGACTTCTCTCTAACAGCAAACATTACTCTGGTACCAGATAAGTATTGGGGTCTGCACTTCTCTAAATTGAAGTATCGAAAGTGAGAAAATGTGAATGTGTGCATCGTTATTAGGCATTAGTTTCAGCCTCCAGGACAAACTAATAAACTTTAATTCTGCATAGGGAGACATAGAAAGTCATCTACTCCTGGAAATAACCTTTCATCAGAACGTTACTTATCACAAAGACCTTCCTTTTAATAATATTTTAAAGACAGTATGTTGTGTATTGGCAGCACAGCTATCATCATATGAGGAGACTGGAGTAGGAAAAGGATGAAGTGGACAATTTTCGGATTTAATCACAGTGGAGATGCTTTTAAATCCTGTTACTGTATAATGTGAATATAGTATACCTTATAGGTATAAGATCGATGCTTTAATGTGTTACAGTTACTACAATGCCACTTGCTGTGAACACAGGAAACTATGCAAAGATAAAACACGAAACCAAAACCAGCCTTTGGCCGTTCACAGATCCAGTTAAAAACACCAGGAAGTGATCTTCTACTTTAATCATTATTTATATTCTTAAAGTTTACATTTTAGCAATTGGTACTTGCACATTTAGCAGATTCCTTTTCAGTTATAGTATTACTGGTAGAGAGGAAAATTGCAGTGAAAGGATTGCTGATCACGAAGTTGAAAGTCTTAAAAAACACAAATATTAACAGAAGGAATGTTTATTTATAAAAAAAAAAGAGGTTTATTCATCTCACGCACTGATATTAAAGTGTTTGGACATTGAAAAGGAGAATCCCTCACCCCACCCCCCCCAGCTGGAACATTTTCCTGTTTGTTTAGTTAATGGGTTCCCACAAACCCCATCGGGACCCTGGTTGGACGTCATATCAGACAGCTCTGCTCATTCAGAGAATGGGTAGCTGGCCCTTCCCTAACCCTGCAGGCACTGACAGGAAGCTGGGTTCAAAGAGCGTTGTCCCTGTGACTCCTTGAAGTTCTCTCCACTTGCTGCACGTTTCATGTGGAGCATGATGTCTCTGGCTCATCAGGGAACAGGAACCATCTCACGATGCTCACAGCAGCAATCTGTTTTCAATGCTGTCTTAAACAAGAGAAGTGCCTTGTTGTATGAATGATTCTACTGTAAGAACAAGTTGATGTAAATGTTAATTTACCTCAAATGTTTACAAAACTGTTACTAAATAAATTTTTTGTACCATATTCACTGTTTTAGTTTTCAATCTTGCTTTATCAAACAAAAAAAAATCACCATTTGCAGAAACACAAAGCTGTAGACGTGACTGAAGCTTGAAAAGTAAAGACTAACTGAGACTCCAGTGCAGCATTTGATCACAAGAAAACCGGTTTAATTCAAACAGATCACATGTAAACCCACCATAGATATGAGTTGGAGCGTCTGAGGGGTTGCTGGCTCGTAGTGAGTTTGCTTGTTGGAACATTTCCTCTTGTTTCCTGTTCTTGTTCCTGTTCGGCTCTTCACCGGATGCTCCAGTTTCCTCCTGCTGCATAAAAATGTGAAGCCTAATTTCAGGGGACACACTTAAACTGACCTAAAATACAGTTATCCTCAGTGAATAAATCCAGCCTTCTGAAAATAATCATTTTTTTAATAACTGTTAATGTAGGCCTGATCAAAGAACTAAACCTGTTTCATTCAGATTTTAACTTAAAATACATCCCTTAGGAAGGAACAAATGGTAATTTTAACCATTTCTTTCTGAACATCATAACTAAGAGATTGAGGTAAGACAAAAAAAATTTTAAATGTCGCAAAACAAGTGTTTAAGTAAGACAAAAGGTCAGTATGTTTAGTAATTAAATTCGCTATTTGTACAGAGAGCTGCAGAGATGATATCCTTTAAATTTGACAACATATAGCATCAAGTCAATGGAATAGAGTACAGCAATTTTGCATGTTAATCATATTTCAATAAGAAAACAATTCAAAGTGTTTTCCATGAAAAAGACAACAGGAAGAAACACCCAGAAAATTAGCATGACAACAGCAAATATAAAAACAGGACTACACACTAAAATGAATAATTCATTTACATAGAAAACATAATAAAAAAGAGAACTATAAATAGGCTAGTAAAAACAAGATACAATGAGATCTGCAAAATAAAGAGAGAAGTTAAAAAAGTTTTCGACTGTGATGAAAACCAGCAATAAAGATGACTAACATATATTTGTAAAGTGAGATCGCCTGGTTACATTTTATTTAGAGCTGAACAAATCTGTTGGTTTTTTAATCTGGATTTAACAATCTTCTG